CCAGGCGCCTTACTACCCAGGGATGGGAGTGGGCGCTCACAGCTCACAGGTATGCGCTCCCGACCCTCAGCCTCTCAGCCTCGAGGGGAAGCAGCTCGGGGATGAGGCCAATCCCATGCACAGAATACCTGAGGTCCCTGTGGTGGCCATGGAAAGGCGCTGCCAAGTCTCCCTTCTTTTTTTTTGGAGGGACTGGGGTTTGAACTGCGGTCTTCGAACCTGCAAAGCAGGCGCTCTACTGCTTGAGTTACACCTCCAGTCCATTTTGCTCTGGTTATTTTGGAGATGGAGTCTCGGGAACTATTTGCCCAGGTTGGCCTCGAACCTCGATCCTCCCAATCTCAGCCTCCTAAGTAGCTAAGATTACAGGTGTGGGCCACCTCACCCAGCCAGCTCTCCCTTTAAGAGATTCTGCTGCCCAGAGCACAGCTGACAGCGCCCCACATGAGCGCCAAGAGCACCTTTGGGCTGCCCCAAGCCAATGACAGACAGAAGACAAGTGGGTGTTAGTGGCAGCCCACTGCCACCCGACCCAGGATTCCTCTGATGGAAAACCTTTGCTCAGGGACCTGCTCCACAGACACCCTTCCCCAGACTTTCTCAGAACCTTCTGCAACCTGGGACTCAGCTCTCAGACCAGCATCCATCTGAAGGCTCTTCCCCCTTTCATTCCTCCTGGACATATGTGTCCCCCAAAAATCTCCTGCCCCTGACACATCTACCTTCCCAAAGTCCCCAGGGAGACCAGAGGTTAAGAGTAGAAACTTACCAGGCTCTGGTAACTCATGCCTGTAATCCTAGCCACTTGGGAGGCTGAGATCAGGAGGAGTCAGGCTCAAGGACAGCCAGGGCAAATAGTTGGGGAGACCCATCTCCAAAATAACCAGAGCAAAATGGACTGGAGGTGTGGCTCAAGTGGTAGAGCTCCTGCCTTGCAAGCAAAAAGCCCTGAGTTCAAACCCCAGTCCCATACACACACACACACACAAGAGCAGAAACCCTACCCAGCACTTGGTTCTACCATCGTTTGTTGTGTGACACCACACAAGTTACTCCACCTGTCTGAACTTCAGTTTCCAAATCATTAAGTGGGAGGTGATAATAGGTGCCTGCTTCACCACTCTGTCATATGAGGGGTAGAAAAAGTCAAGTGCCAGGAATAAGGTCTGGCTGCTGTGTCCCTCAGAAGCCCATCTTCTGGAACTCTAGTCACGAAAGCCAATAAAGCTCCATGTTGCCTAAGCCACATAAAGTTGGATATTTCTTTTTGTTTTAACTAAGCCATTCCTGATTGATGTGTTACCCTCTGCCCTCCAAGACAAGCTGCTGGGTTCTCAGGAACAGGTCATATAGAACATGATCAGGAAGCCAGGCATAGTGAGGCACGCCTGTAATCCCAGCACTTGGGAGGCTGAGACAGGAGGATTGTGAATTTGAAGCCAACTTGGCCTACATAGGGAGACCCTATGTAGGGTCCAAAATAAGAGTATTTGGGCTTGGGTTGCTCTTGCATGTAATCGTAGCTACTCAGGAGGTAGAGATTGGGAGGACTGAGGTTCTAGGCCAGCCCAGGCAAAAAGTTTCCAAGACCCCCATCTCAACCCATAAAAGCTGGGTTTGATGGCACACATCTGTCATCCCTGCTACAGGAAGCACAAATAAGAGGATCAAGGTTCAGGCTGCCCTGGAATAAATATGAGTGTATTTGAAAAATAACTAAAGCAAAAAAGGACTAGACTGTGACTCAAGTGGTAGGGCACAACCCCAGTACCACTAAAGATAATAAAATCAGAGCCCCACCGCAGGCCTGTCCTGACCGCAAGATGAGCCAAGCAGCCAGGCACCCCTTCCACTACCACTCAGTGGTTCCCTCAGCCCACTGAAATCCCCCGTCCCGGCCCTATCTACTTGCTACCATCGATATCTGGAACAGGTCTGTCCTCCACTGGAATTGCCCTCCATGAGGGCAGGATCGGGGTTGTCATGGGCACATCGAGCACTGTTACTGAACTGTGCGCTTTAAGTGGTTAACATTCTATGCACACTGCATTGACTTAGTACAGTACAGTTCCATTGCTGACACTGGGGGTTGGCTCCTATTAACACTGATGAAATTGTGTTGTTTTTTTTTTTGGTGGCACTAGGCTTTGAACTCAGGCCTCTGCACTTGCTAGGCAGGTGCTCTACTACTTGAGCCCCACCTCCAGCCCTTTTTGCTCTGGTTATTTTGGAGATAGATTCTTGCTGTTTGCCCAGACCAGCCTGTTTTATGCTTCCTGCCTTGCAGTTACTGGGATGTCAGGCACACATCACCATGCCCAGCTTTTTTCCATTGAGCTCAGGTCTCCCAGAGTTTTTGCCTGGGCTCCCTGCAATCACAATCCTCCCAACCCCAGCCTCCTGTATAGCTTGGGATGACAGGTGCATGCCACCACACCCAGCTATCAATTGAGATCAGGTCTCCTGAACACTTTTTACCTGGGCTGGCCTTGAGCTGAGATCCTCCTGATCTCAGCCTTCCAAGTAGTTTAGGATTACAGGCCTATACCTTGAGCCACTCCTTTTTTGTGTTGAGTATTTTTGAGACAGGGTCTCAGGAACTATTTGCCTGGGCTGGTTTGGAACCTCGATCCTCCTGATCTCTGCCTCCTGAGTGGCTAGGATTATCGGTGTGAGCCACCGCACCCGGCCTGTGCTGCACATTTTACCACTATGTGCACAGGGAGAACTTAACCACTCACTTCTTTCTGGGCCAGTCACCATCATCCTGCATCTGAGCCTCCACTACCGCCCCCTACAGTCTGTTGTGCACATGACAGCCAGAGTCTGATTAACATCTAAGTCAGATCTAGTCCCTCCTCTGCTCCCATGGCTCATCCCTCTTCACTTCCTTCTGCACTCCTCCTCACTCATGCTGGCAGCAGTCACATTGGCCTGTATGCTATTCTTTGAACAAGCCGAGCCCTCCAGCCTCAGGGCCTTGGCACGTCCAGTTCCTTCTGCCCTCACACTGCCCCTTCCCAGAGACCTGCCTGCTCCATCCTTGCCTGGACCCAGTAACCAGCTCCCCTCCATTTCCTGTCACCTTTCCCTGCTTTATTTCTCTCATTGTGCTTATTACTACCTGACACAACATATCTGTAAGTTACTAACCATGTCTCTTGTCAGTCTCCCCACTAAAATGTCAGTTCTGATGACAGTGGGAGGATTTGCTTGTTAAAACAAGTAACCACACAGATGTCTAAAAAATATTGGGGCTGGGCATGGTGATGCATTTCTGTAATCCCAGCATTTGGGAGGCTAAGGCAGGAAAATTGGAAGTTGCAAGCCAGTCTGGGCTACACTACACAGCAAGACCCTGTCTCAAAAACATCTTTTTTTTTTTTTTTTTTTTTTTTTGCTTAAATGAAAGATTCAGAGAGGAGCTAGAAGAAGACTGAGAGAAACAGGAGAAAGGAAGGGAGAAAAATGAAGGTAAGAAGACCGAGGAGCGGCAGGTAGCCGAGACTCGGGGAGAACAGGGCAAGAATGAGAACCAGATGGTACAAGATGAGGGAGACAAGTGTGAGAAAAACCAGCTGGGGACAGACAGCAAGGAGAGGGGGCAGCAGTGTCAGGAGACACAGACGTGGGAAGACATACACAAAGGTTGAAACAGAGGAAGAGACGAGACGCAAAAGAGACAGTGGAGAGGGAGGCAGAGACAAGGAGAAGACACACTGGGGACCATGGGGCTGAAAGAGAACTGAAAACTGCAAAGCTGGACCAGTGGAGACAGAAAGGAGAGGTCTCTCCCTTCCCCTAACTCAATGTGCTGGCGACCAGTGCTTTGGCCTGACTTGATATCCCTCAGGATCCAAGCTGTGGTTTTAAAAATTCCAAGGGAGGGAGATGGTGGAAAGACAGAAGTCATGTGACACTGTCTAAAAACAGGGTTTTGGGCCACCAGTTTCTTCAGTCCTCACAGCAACTCTGTTAACTGCTATTACTGTCTTCAGTTCACAAGACCAGAGAGGCTGAGTAACCTGCCCGTGGCTGACCAGCAGCAATGCTCACCAGAAAGGTTGTACTCACCTTCCAAGGCCGAACAGTGCTTTGAGAATTTGCTCCTCGTCGTGTCGCTTCGAGAGCAGTACCCTCGCACGGCGAGGCCGCGGAGCGAGCGACGACCCTATCTCGGCGCGTCTACCCCCGCGCCGGTGATCGACTTTGCGCCCCACGCGCTAACCATCGAGCTTCTACTGCTTATGCCTCTCCTGCCAATTATGCATCTTGCATCATCTACGTGGCAGTTCTCGCCCCGGGCGGCTCATACATGTACCCTCGTATCTGACCGTAGGCAGCCGTTTGATCATTATTTCCCCCATTCGTCCCGGTGTTCCAGAAGCAGAAAGCAGCCAGGCCACCCATCCCTGCCCGCCCTCACCTGACCCCAGGAAGTAAGCATGGAGTCCCTGATAGCAGGTGATAGGCAGGTTGATCTTAATCCTGTCTCTGCACGTAACTTACAAAAGCAATTACCCGATCCCAGCTTGTTCCTTGCTTCTCTCAGAACCACCAGTAAAGTCCCTTTTGCCCCCAAGCACACGGGAGAATGGGAAGTCCTTCACACTGTCTGACCTTCAGTGGCCCTGGTACTGATAAGCGTCCTCTCCCCGCCCTAACCCCAAGTTACTAGAGGGCATGGAAGAAGAAAAAGGAGTCATAGGGAAGGGGAAAGCCAGGCAGCCCACCCGGGGTGAGAGACAAAGAACTAGGGCTGTGGCGGGAAGAGCACCTCGAGACAGCACGACAGACACACGAGGCAGCTGAGCTGGAGTTTATTGCAGATGGACGCGGACGCGGGGAGAGGAGACGCTCAGATCCTACGGGGGAGGTCAGGGGGCCGAGGCGAGGCCGGGGCCCTCGCCCCCTTCTCCGGGATGCCGGCTCCGGGGACTCTGGGCGATGTCATGGGGAGGCAGCCGGGCCCATCGGCGCTGTCGAGGGCTGACGGCCGGCTACCCGGGTCCTCGCCCCGCCGCGGCCTCGGGCGCTTCTCCGGCGGTCGGGCTGCTCGGGCGGCGGCGGCGCGCGCTGCCGGCAACTCGAGCTAGGGTCGTTTGGCCCAGCCGGGCCGCCCAGGAGGAGAGACGGAAGCCGCGGGCGGCGGCCGGGGCGGGCGGGCGCCCCGGGAGGGCAGCACACGGCGGGGGCGGTGCGCTGGACGGCGGGCCGGCGGGGCCAGCGGGGGGCCGCGTGGGCACCCAGATGAGACCGTAGTACACGGCGAGCAGCACGGCGGCCAACGACACGCAAAGGAAGTAGGCGCAGACCGGGGCCAGGCGCAGCCAGCGTCCCCGCGGCCCCTCGCTCAGTCCCGCGCCGCCCGGGCTCTCTCCGCCGCCACCCACGCAGCTTGTGCCCCTCATCGCAGCTGCCCAGCCCGCCCGCCCCGCGACCACAGGCCCCGCCCCCTCCCCTCCGAGGACCGCCTCGCACCCGAAGTGGCCCGTCCCCGCAGGGCGGGCCCCCTCGCATCGTAGACACACCCTCTCCCCGTCTCCGGCCAACCGCTGTCAAACTTCGGCTTCCTGACTCCGCCCCGCCTACACCTTGGCTCCGCCCCTTTTCTCCCGCGCGTCAACCAGGTCACCATTCTAGCCTTGGACTACTGTCTCCTGCTTACTAACTCCGCGCGTCCCCTTTCTACGAATCGGTCTACTCCAGCATCGGAATCTGACCCTCTTTCCCCTCTGACTTCACGGCTGTAGTCCAGGTTCGACCCCTTTTCCTTCCCTCACCACCTTAACTCCACAGGGCACCCTGGCCACGCCCCCCGGCGGTCCAGCCCCATCTAAACCCGCTCGCATAGGCCCAGCCCCACCCCTACATGCTAACTCCGCCCCACGCCCCCTGCCCGAGTCTTGGCCCCGCCCACACCCCAGCCCCGCCCCTTAGGCACCCATCTGGGCTCCAAACATCTTCCTGCCGTCCTGAGGCCAGGGGTCCTGAGGGCTAACCTTAAACTCCAGAGGTTCCAGCTCCACCCCCACTCCAGCCAGGCCCCTTCCTACACCACCCTCAATACCTCTCCCTAGAGCCAGGGGACCCACAGTGGGCTCCGGGGAGGAGCGAACACGGCCTGGAGAGTCAGATAACCCCTCCTCTTACGGCCCCCTCCCCATCAAGATGGGGAGGCTTCCGACCCCTCCCAGCAGCGTCTTCAGGAACTCAGGGAGGCCTGCGAGGGGGAAGGAAGAAGAGTCAGGGGAGCAAAGGAGGGAAGACCCCTTCCTCCCGCCTGTTCCGCCGCAGAAAAGCCCGCCAAGCACAGCAGCCCAGCCTGCCCCCGCCAGAAACACAGTTGCAAGGTTAGCGGAAGCACTGCGTTTAATGCAGCCGGGCGGCCCGAGTTCAAGTCCTTCGCAAGTCACCGCTGTTTGCCAGGCCCCAGGTGAGGACCCCTGGAGACGGGAACTCCCCGGGAATGGCACCTAGGTCTCCACCCGACGTGCCCAGGTGGGGCTGCACAAGTCCTCACTGGATTGGACTACAGCCCCGGCTCCGCCCCCTTTACACTTAACCCTCTCTGGCTGCAGAGTGGCAGAAGCAGAGGAGCAGGGTTAGTGCGGAGCGCGGAGCCGCTGTCCCGGCGCAGTCAGCGGGCGGCCCCCGGGGGCGGCGCGGCCGCCACCACCTTGCAGAAACGCACCCTCTGGAAGTCGGTGATCTCCGCTGTCTCCTGGCCCTCGGGGCCCGCTTCTGGGGAAGAGAAAGAGCGGTCAGCGGAGGGCACAGCCAGCGTACTTCCTCCGACTGGCCCTGCCTGCCCTTCCTGCCAGTGGAGCTGGGAGCTGCCCAGATGGGGGCCTCCAACTGACCCCTCTGGCCCTCAGCGAACCCACGAAGCAACATGCACCACAACATAGCCCTGTCTACGATCAGAGAAACGCCGGGGAAGGAAGATCCCGTTCACCCTGACAACTCGTGGCCAAAAACAAGAGCACCCGGTCTCGCCCTGTCCACAACTCCAAACACTACCCACTCTTGGGTTCATTTCCCGGTCCTACCAACCGCTACCAAGCAAGTCCTGCAGGACCCGGTGCAGGCCCTCTCCCGCATCCCCACACCTTCTAACAGCCCTTGCAGTGGGGAGGGGAGGGAGGCGTCACTGGTTGCAAGCCTGGCTCCTACCTGGTGGAGGGGGACACAAGGATATTGACCTTTTGCTCTCACTCCATGGGGCCCAAAATGACAACCAGGCCTGCTAGTCTAATCTTCCCAAAACTCTAATCCCGTCCACAGCCAAATCCTTTTTTTTTGTGCAGTACCAGGGCTTGAATACTCAGGACCTACACCTTGAGCCATTCCACCAGCCTTTTTTGTGCTATGTATTTTCAAGCTAGGGACTCACAAACTATTTGCTCAGAGCTGGCTTTGAACCCAGATCCTACTGATCTCTGTATCCTGAGCAGGTAAGATTACAAGCCTGAGCCACCAGGGCTGGCCAAACCCCCATTCTTTTGACCGGTAGAGCTTAGTGGGAATTTCTACACCCCTCTAGATCCTCCCCCAGGGCCTAGCCCCATCCCATTACACTTCTCAGGTTCCTGTGCAGCCCCCTCACCAGGTGCCACCCAAATAACTCCCATTTCTCTTAGTACACCCATTGCTTGACTCTGGCCCACCCAAGCCTGGCCCAGTATGGTAACTGCACACCCAGATTGCACCGCCACCCTTCAGGCTCCACCACCCTCCTGGTGCCAAGCCCTTCTCCCTGATCACAGAAGAGGCGCCCACAGAAGCACCACCTCCACCACGCCATGTGACCCCCACCTGGAGTCGCCTCAGACCCCTCCTCTTCAGCTTTCTGGGTTCCTGGGAAGCTGGGCCCACTCTCCAGGGAGCAGGGGCTGGCTGGTCACCTCCTGGGGAAGGGGAGGCCCAGTCAAGCCCTCTCCCTTCCAAAAGTCCCCAACTTAGAAGATCCAAGGGGAGCTGGAGGGGCCTTAAGGACACACTTGGGGGAAGGTCACTTCAGGATGTGAACTCTTTATTGAAAAAGAGGGCTCTGAACGAGCAGGGACAGGCTCTAGGAGTGAGCATTCCAGAGTCGGGGGCACTGCTGCACAGTGGGCACGGACTGCTGTCCCCAGCCACCAGGGCTGAGGCAGGTGGGGTCCCAGGCCCTGCCACACCCCTTGTGCACACACACAGGCAGCCAGCTTCATGCATTCCCAAAAGGCCAGGCCTCACCCGGAGACAAGGAGCCGAGAGGGTGGGCCATCCGGGGAGAATTCAGCTCCATCTCCTCACCCCAGTCAGGCACAGGCTGGTGGCCTCCAGGTGGTGAGAAGGGGCTGGAAGGCGCAGCAGGAGCTGGAGAGAGTGGCTCCTGGGGTGTGGGAAGCTCCAGGTCAGCTTGCTCCTGGGTAGGGTCCCCAGTGGGCTCAGCTTGTGGGTGCTGGTGATCCTGGTCTTGTTCTTCCTCTTGTGCCTCAGCACCCTCTTCTTCCTCGATTTCCTCCTCCTCCTCTTCGTCCTCAGTCACATCCTCACTCATGTCCTCCCATTCTTCATCCTCCTCACCCTCGTCCACTTCACCCTCATCCTCCTCCCCCTCGTCCTCAGGAGGCCGGTGGGCAGGGGCTGGGATCTCGGGAGGCTGTGTGGAACATTGGCAGGTCAGGGAAAGGTGTGGACCCTGAGCACACACACAGCTGCCTTGCCTTACCTTTGTGGGCATTTCCTCCCGGGTCATAGTTCCTGGGGCCTCTGGGGTGGGGGACACTGACACTGCCTCCTCTTTCGTCTCCCAGCGGTCATCATGGTCACTGGAGGGGACAGAGGACAGGGGTGAGGTCTTGATGGAGGATGGATAGGAGGAAGTCATCCTACCTGTCATACTGAGGGAATAGTGGATATTTGTCCCCAGTTTTCAGAGGCAGGAGAGAGAGGGGGGACAGAAGCACAGATGGATGGGTGGGAAAAGGGGGCAGATGAGGGTAAAGCCAAAATCCAGACTTCAGTGCTGCAAGGCAGACAGGCCACAAACAGATGCACTCATACAAACACCACGTCAGAAGAGGACCAGGGAAAGTCACCCAGCCCTGTGGCCTGGGAAAGGGTGCCCCCACCTGTAGGAGCGGGGAGCTGCCTTAGCCTGGGGGCGGCTGCTCTTTCTCCTTCTGCGGCTGCTGACCTCAGCTTTGTGCTGAGAAAGGAACTCCCCAAAAGTGGGGGGCTTAGGGGGCCGGGCCCAGGCCTGGTCATCTGCAACAGTACTCAGAATGAGTCAGGGGACGAGGACACCACACAAAATACCTCCCCACCTACCCTGCACCAAGCCTAGCAGCTGCCTCATGCCTTCTGAGGACACCACTCACCATAGCGGTGGGATGGTTCACGGGCAGGGGTTGGGCCATCCTTGAACCTGGGAAAAGAGAAGCAGGGTGAGCAAGTGGCTGGAGGAACAAGGGAGTGAGATTGGGGGAAAAAGCAGGGGGAGAGGTGGAGGCCAGAATCAGAGATCAGATCAGAGGATAGTCAGTCAATCAGGACAGGATTGGGTGATAGGTGCAAATCTGACATTTTAGTGACAAATACACAAAGAAAAAACATTCAGAATTTAGCCCCCAAAGTAAAAACTTGGCAACTCACCATAGACCCTTGGAAAGCTTCCTGTCTGAGCTATTTCCTGTCATTCACTCTCACCTCGCCAGCTAAGCAGATTCTCCTGCCACACCTACCCTGACTCAGGGCCTTTGCACAAGCTGCTCCGGGAACATCCTTCACATTTCAGCAGCTCACTCCATCACCTCCATCAGACCTGAGACAGCCCACCTAACGTGTATCACCTACATAGTCTAAGTCTCATCCCTACCGCCTTCCTCTGCTGTTACTTCTCACAACCTGTCATCTTGCCCACTAGACTCCAAGTTCCATGAAGGCACAATGTTCTGTTTACCACTGTGTCCCCAACACCACAGCCTTCATGGCACTGAGCCTCAGCTAAGTATTTGCAGCTGAAATCAAGACACATATGTTAATTAGCCTCAGAGTGCCCTGGGGACAAAATGAAAACAGTTCTTTTCTCATTAACTCCAAGAATATCTCCCCAAAAGACCAGCTACAATGTCTGTTCAACAAGCTTGCTTGCAATAAAAAAACAAAACAAAACAAAAAGAAAACCCACCCAAAACCATGCTCCCAACCAATCACCAGGCTCCACTTGAGCCACGCCCTCAGCCCCAATCCTCTTTTTATTTTAGCCAGAGCCCACAAAACAGGCTAAAGTTGTATGAAAACTTCCAGCACAGCAAAGGATAGGGGACAGGGTCAAACCTAAAGATGCCAATGCTGCAGCTCTTATAGAAGCTTCTGCCTCACTATGGAAGTAGGTCCTGACAATGACACAGTGATACCTGTGCTTTTAAGTCTGGCTAAACATTTCCTAGAACCCAAAAGAGAACAGTCAGGCTTGACTGGGGATAAGGCCTCGTTGGCAAGGCACAGAGAGAAAGCAGCACAGGGTCCAGGCTGGTGGGGACAGGTCAGACAATGGACAGAGGAAGGCACCAAAGGTCTCATCACTGTTGGCAGTGCTTTGTCCCCTCCACACATCAGAATTTATACCCCACCCTGAGCCTCGTGGGGTCACAGCTGGGATACCCACAAGAGAGGCCAGGGAGCATCTGTCAAACCCAAGACAGTAATCTCCCCAGTAGCTGCTGCCCTCAGCCTGGACCCTAGAATAAACCCACCTGGGGTGAGTTCATATAGAAGGTTCTGGAAGAACTGATGAATGGCAGTCATTGTTTTTTTGTGTGTGTGGTACTGGGACTTGAACTCAGGGCCTACACCTTGAGCCACCCCACCAGCCATTTTTGTGAAGGGTTTTTTTGAGATAAGGGTTCATGAACTATTTGCCCAGGCTGGCTTTGAACCATGATCCTCCTGAGTAGCTAGGATTACAGGTGTGAGCCAGCGGTGCCTGGTTATGGCAGTCTTTTAAGGATCAACAATTTTAGGTTTTGCCCCACCCCCCTATTCTTTTCAGCCTTGGAAGTTCTATAAACCTACAGCCTTTGGTGTTGACTCTGGCTCAAAAGATTTGCTGCCAGCACACCTAAGCTCCATCTGCATGGGGATGCTGAGTCTGGGGGACCCAGAACTTAGCACCCAACCTGGGCCAGCTGAACCCTGAGGACCTATGCACACATTACCATGTGCCTGGAGGACTTGGTGAACTGTGGTGACACATTACTCATATCCAGGAAGACACCAGAGAGAGGCAAAAGTCCCAGGCCCCAAGGTGGGTCAGCGAGGAGAGACTCACATGCCATCAGTCTTCTCGGCGTCCCACTCCCGCCGCCACTGGCCAGTGGGTTTGCGGTGTCGCTGCAGGCGCTCCTGGTCAATCTTCTCCCTCTCCTGCTTCCAGCGCAGGTACTCCGACCGCTCGCGGCCCGTCATGGACAGTGTCATGTCACCAGCACCGCCCAGGCCAGCCCGGCGGCCCTGCCCCCAGACCATCCACAGGCAGTTAAAGCCCATCCCCATCCTCCCCTGTCCCTCTGATTCTCAGAAGTGGAATCATTCACTCACTGACACAGGGAAGAGGTGACAGGCAGTGATACAAGCAGGTGCCTCAAGTGGCCTGCTCAGAGAGAACCTCCCCATCTCTAAAGCAGCACCCTGCGCCTCACCTGGCTGGGCTCTTCTGCTGGCCACCCTCACATTACCCACCTCTAACTAGATTTTCACCTAGTAACCTGCCACCAGAACAAACACCAGCAGGGCAGGGGCTTTGCCTTACAACTCTTGTACCCAGCACTGAAAAAAGATCCTGCGAGCCAGGGGCACAGCTCGGTAGCAGAATTCTGCCTACCATGCAAGCCCCTGGGTTCCACCCCCAGCACCATAAAAACAAAAATAAGCTGGGCACTGGTGGCGCATGCCTGTAATCCTAGCTACTCAGGAGGTAGAGATTAAAAGGATCTTGGTTAGAAGCCTACATGTGCAAATAGTTTGTGAGACCCTATCTCAGCCCCCCCCCACAAAAAGAAGGGCTGGTGGAGTGGCTTAAAGTGTAAGCCCTGAATTCAAACCCCAGTACCACAAAAAACATATATAAATAAAATAAAAGAGTTGGGACAGGTCCAGCAAACAACACTGATGTCAGTAATGAGAAGAAACCCCCAAGCCACCCTATAACAAGGAGTGTGGGACAGCCAGCCCTCATCCAGCGAGGTGAACTATGAAGGCAGGATGGTCCTTGAGCCCCACCCCTCATCCAGCATCGCAGTCTGGAGACAATACCCTGACCCTCACCCCGCTGGGCTCTTCTGCTGGCCACCCTCCAGCAAGGGTGTCAGAAGTAAGACATGGCAGAAATCCTTCACAGACAAACCACGGATCCCAGCACCAAGGGTGACACCTGCTCTGTCCTGGTCTCCACTGAACCCACGCACAATTGCATTCGGTCCCCAGGGGACCACTGAGGCCCCACTGCCAGCACCCACCTGCCGCTCCTGCTCCAGGCCACAGCGCACACGCTCAAAGTCAGGGCCCCCCCAGTTGCGCCCATGCCGGCGGCTGCCCTCCCGGCGGTCCCGCTCTGGCTCCTCCAGGGGTCCACTGCGGCGCCGGGGGTCATCCAGAAAGTTCCGCACTGGGTTAGGCTCCAGCACTCCTTCCTGCAGCACAGGGGTGAGGTTGGCAGGGACACCAGCCCCTAGGTCCTGGCCACTCAGCCCTGGCCACCTGCAGTACTGACCCGCTGGTTCCGCTCATACTCGGCAATCTTTTCCATTTCCTCATTCATCTTCTCAATGTTCTGTCTGCGCCGTTCCTCCCACTCCTGGGGGACAAAGGGGACACCAGGCACCAGAAAATATTACTCAAACCAGTCATGCAGAATGGAGTGACATAGCAGGCCTGACCTCGCCCTGAGGTGAGTGGCATGGGAGTTCCTCTCAGCCCGTTCCCAGTTAACACCAGGTAACCCGACTTTCCTCCTGGAGCCTGCATTTCCGAATGTTCCAGGCAGAGGGGCCTGACCTCCAACCACAACCCAGGGCACTGGTGTCTCTGGACCATCCCTGGCAGGTACTGACACAATTCCACACTGGGGGATCCCAAAGGGAGAGGACTCTTTCCCTGCTCCACTCCCCAATCCCTCTAGCCCCCGCCTGCCGCCCTGGCTGATTCTACTGTGTCCTGTCAGTGTGATAAATCTGAGCCACAAGTCCTATTCTACAATGAGCCTTGAGTCTTTCCAGCAAACTGCTGAAGCTGACCGCTCAGTGTCAGGGTGCTGGGGCCCCCAACACACCCTAGCTGCCACAGTAAGGATGATGGTGACAACAGCAGACAACTATCAGCCCACCACCCATTCCCCCCCTCACAGGACAGTGGAGGCTCTCCCAAGTGCCTCTGCAGTTAGGTGCGGCTGGGCTCTCACTTCTCATGGAAAGTGGCACAGGGCTAGAATGACTCGACTCCCCTGTGAATTCAGCCACCCGGCATCTACCAGGCAGACAGTGACCATGCTCCAGGTGACCATCAGGCCATGGAAGGCGGGAACCTGGGTCCCAGAGTGACATCTCCACCCTCACTGTTCAACTCACCCACTCTACTGAGGCCCCCCACATTTTGGGATCCTTTTGTTGCAGCTTAGTGTGCCAAACAGTGCCGTGCCTACTCACAGGAGGCTTAAATACCTCATTCATTCATTCTCTCTCTCTCTCTCTCTCTCTCTCTCTCTCTCTCTCTCTCACTCACTCACATTTATTTTGGGTTTTTAAGACAGGGTCTCATTACATAGCCTGGACTGGTCTAGAATTTGGCATCCTCTGGCATCAACCTCCTGAGTGCTGGAATTACAGGTGCCCCCACCACACCCAGCTCAAAGTAACCTTTAAATCTAATCACCATTCCTGTGTAAGAGCAAGAACTGGAAGCTCACAGACGGAAAGTGAACTGTGGAAGGTCGTACCCACATCCAACTAAGCTTGCCAGCCTCCCCCATCAGCGTGGCAGGGGAGTGGAGAGGTCACACCAAGACCACAGCTACACGAATGTGCACACTGAGACAGATGAACAGACAACTGGTACCAAAAAGAGGAGAATGACAGGCAGGGGAGAGGGGGCAGGCAACCAGCATGGGAGAGCTGGAGAGAGGCACCGAGACAGAAAGAGATGAGAGGGTACACAGCACTGGCCAGGAAGGAAGAAGGGAGGTAGAGAGAGCAGAAGGGCAGGGCTGAGACAGAGAGGAGCTTGGGGACAGAAAGCCAGAGCATGTAGAACCTCAGCCCAAGGTGAGCTCCATGCCCTGCCCAGCTCCTACCTTGGATTTGCGGTCGGAGGTTGAGGCATCTCCAGCACCTAAGAGATGAGGGGAGCCCCGGCCCCGGCCCCTCCGGCCCCGGCCCCCAGCTCCTCGCGGCTGCTCCCCAGGACTGTCCTCCCAGCTCCGGGGTGCCCGGCCCATGCCTGCCCGGCCTCCCTGCTGTGGGGTGGGCCGGCCCCCCCTGTTGGCTCCTGGGGTCCGAGGAGTCCCAGGAGACCTCCGAAGGGGACCCAGGTTCTTCTCCTGGAAGGGGGAGGAAGGATAAACACGGTCACAGAGCAGGGAGACTGGAGAGCCCATAGGGGCAGCTGCTGGGACTGAGGCCCTCACAGGTTCAAGGCAGCTGGACCCCTCCCCAACCTCAGGAGCCCCCGCTCCGATGGGCTCACCACCTCCACTGCCACATTCTCCTTCTCCACCGAGCGACTCTTCCGGGGTGCTGTCACTGCTACTCCCTCAAGTTCAGCTTTTTTCCGGTCTTCCTCAATCTCCTAGGGGCAAACACCCATGGTATGGGGGTGTCAGGGGCTCTGTCCACAGGCTGGACTCCCACAGCCCCTGAATTCCTCCTAAGTCTGGCCCCAACTCAGGCCTCCTTCCAAAGTTAAAGGCAAGAAAGCTGGTCCAACCCTTCCCATGGTGCCCGTCTCCAATGAGAGACAAAGGTGGCCCACAGCCTACAGGGCCTACAGCAGCCAGTCTCCTTGCCTCCATCTTCTCCTAGCTCCCTGTTGCTCATTTGAGCTTTCTCGCTGTTCCCAGAACTACTTGTTCCCAGAACACACCAGGCTCACATCTGCCTCAGGGCCTTTGCACCAGCTGTTCTTTCTACCAGCGCCTTCTGCTCCAACATCTTTCAACCCTCTTCTCCAGCATCTCCTCTCAGGGAGGCTTTCCCTGACCCCCTTCAGAAACCAGCTTCCCTGCTCTCACCCCCTGTCCATTAGAGCACAGGGATATCTGTCTGCTTGTTCCCTGAGGCATACCGTGAGCCTACATCACTGCCTATCTCATGACACAACTCAGTATTTCTTTTAATGAATGAACACATGAAGAATGAGTCAATGAAGCCCACTCCCTTCCCAGGTCCCATCTCAGGGACAACACTTACCTACTCTATTTTTCACTTTTTGTAATTTTTTGGTGGTGCTGGGGTTTGAACTGAGAACTTCACACTTGCCAGGCAGGTGCTCTACCACTTGAGCCACTCCACCAGCTCTCTTTTGTGAAAGGTATTTTCTAGATAGGGTCTTGCAAACTACTTACCTGGGCTAGCTGCAAACCGCGATCCTCCTGCCCTCTGCCTCCTGAGTAGCTAGGCCCCACTACCAACTCTTGGACCTGGCCCCGGACCTTCCTTCTTCCTCCTCTCCCTCCTCCCTGCCCTCAGTCACCAAGACTCTCTCAATAGCCAAGCCCTGAGCTAGACAACTTCTTTCTCTAGAATCCCTGCCCTAGTAGCCTCCTTGCTTTCTGGTCTACAGTATCACCTCCTCCCAACCACCACCACACAGCAGCCAAAGGAGATTCCCTAAAAAGCTCTTCTGACCTGGGCCCACTCCTGCTTAAGCCCTCCATGGCTCTACGGCCTTAGGCATCCAGGCCCTACATGGCCTGGTCCCTGTGAACTCTCCAGATCAGTACTGCCCCAAATGACCCTGAAACTTTAAGCTCCAAGCCCTCTTACATCCAAATATGTGACCACAGTGCTCCCTTTGCCTGAAACATGGGCCACTCTCCTATTCAACTGGCTAACAGCCAACCACCCTTCAGACCTCAGAGTCCCCTCTGCCAGGAAGCCCTCCCTAAGGTACCCCAGGCTGGGTCAGCAGCCCCTTCTGGCCTCCCCTGGCCTGGCCTCTGAACTCCCCATCTGAGCCTTGTCCAGTCAGGGTCAGCACCATCTGAGGGCAGGGCTGTCTCTGTTGCAGCTGCACTCCAGCACCACTCAACGAGGGCCTTGAGACAGTGACGCCTTACTGAACACTTGTGATGAATGAGTGAGTGATGGAATGAAGGAAGGAATGGCAGGCTAAGGCCTGTGGCATTTATCCTGACAGTGATGGGGAGCCATGAAAAGGTTTTAAGGGAGAGGTGAGAAAAACTCACTGCGGGGAGGAGAGGGGATGGGGTCTCCCAGGGCGGGGCTAGGGCACCTGGTAGCGCCGGATGAGAGCCTCATTCTTCCTACGAAGAGCTTCGATCCTCTTGTCCAACTCAGCATCCTTCTCCTCCTTTGACTTCAAATCCAGTGTGGCTGCCTAAGACCAAGAGGCAACTGAGGGCTAAAGAAAACCCTACATGCCCCAAAGCCACTCAACTCAGGGTCTGACAGTTGCTATGATTCCCACTGTCCCAAGCCTCCTTCCCAGCCAGCTCACCATTTCACTGGCTGGACCACGGTCCCACCACTTCCCTCTCAGAATCTGGATCAGCACTGGGAGCTCCTGAGGGCAGGGGAACAGGAGAACTAAAGGCAAGGCTTCATGCTCTTCTCTACTGGGCTCTCTCCCACTCTCACTCACTCTCACTCACACACCCCATTTGAACCCCAGAAATTCTACCGTCACTTCCACTGGCTCAACTGCTAGCCCCACCCCTTTTCTAGACAAATATAGACTCCACCCCTTCCTTTTTGGACTCCCCCCCAAACTTTTTAGTCAGATCTGTCTTGGGAAAGTTCTGGCCCTGCCCCACTGCTTGGGACACTACTGCTTCCTTCCTAAGGAAATTCTAACCCAGCCTCCACAGCCTGGAGCCCAGACCCATCTCAAGAAAGCTTCAGCTGTACCCCTTCCTCCCAATCAGCCCAAAAAACTTCTAGAACTGAAGCAGGAAAGATTGGAGAAATTGAGGGTGGGGGTAGGGGAGAGAAATGACCCAAGTATTGCATGCACATATGAATAATAAAAAAATAAAAATTAAAAAAAAATTAGAGAAATTGAGAGATGACAAACAGGAGCCAGGAATCCAGTGAAAAGCTTGACTGAAGGCACACAGGCAGCCAGGTGCCTATAATACTGGCTACTCAGGGGACAGAGATCAAGAGGATCAGGGTTCTAGCCCAGGCAAACAGTGCAAGAGACCCTATCTCAAAAACACCCAGCACAAAAAAGGGCTGGCAGAGTGGCTCAAGGTAAAGACCCTGAGTTCAGGCCCCAGTACCACAAAAGAAAGAAAAAAAAAAAAAGCACACTTCATCCACTTTAAATTTCACACTCCCCCACCAGCTCTGAGGTTGGGGTGTAGCTCAAGGTGTAAAGCACCTGCCTAGGGAGCCCTGAGTTCAACACTCAGTACTTAGAAAGAAAAAAGTCCTAACGCTAGTGGCTCATGCCTGTAAACCTAGATACTCTGGAGGACTGAGGTTTGAGGCCAATCCGGGAAAATAGTTCCAGAGACCCCATCTCCAAAACAACCAGAGCAAAATGGACTGGAGGTGTGGCTTGAGCGGTAGAGTGCCTGCTTTGCAAGTGCAAAGCTTTGAGTTCAAACCTCAATCCCACCAATTAAAAAGAAAAAAAAAATACAAAAATACAAAAATACCAGCAACAACAACAAAAAACCCTCTCACTCTGACCAAATGACTATTACACTCTGCAAACCAAGCACGGATATCTTCAAGAAAGACACTTTAAAGAAAAAGATACTTGTCCTAGGAAAAAACATTTGGTAAAATGACTACCTAAAATCACAAAAGTGTTTGCAAAGGAAGACATTTATGTCAAGGATAGACATCAGGCTTCAAAGGAGCATCAGTTGAAAGCCATCCTGTGTTTAAAGGAACGCTCGAGGAAAACAGGCCCTATGTCCCAGTGACCCACATTTATAAACTGACCAGACTTGGATATCCCTGAACCCAAATAATAATGTCACAACAGTGCAACAGCAAGGACAAATGACTGCATCAGGAATCCAGAACAACTCAGAACACTTATTCTAAAGTGAATTTTAGCCAACCCTCCATTCACTTTTTCACCATAAATACCCATGATGTTAGGGCACTCAGTGCACCCATGTCTGGATGTGTACTCTCCTTTCTTTACTAACAAACTTTCTTGGTCTGTACTTTGATGTGTCCTAAAATTCATTTTTGCAACAAAATCATGAACCCAGTTAGTACTCAAGTGCCAGGTAAAGTCTCCTCCTTTTGGAGACCTCAGCGTTCCCATAAACGAACCACTTTCCTGTTCCTATTCTGATGATGCTCACATCTGGATGAACATTCCAGCTCGGTCGGGTAGCTTCAGAAATCTCCCTTAACCCCGCACTCAAAAAAAGCCGCACACCCAACTATGAAAACAGCCCCACACCTCCCCTGGCAACGCCCTAGTCCCGCCCCCAGCATCCCAGAAAAGGGAAGGTCGTCTCATACCAACCCCAAAAACATTCTGGGAACAGGTTCAGTACACACTGGGGTGGCTTCCTGCACGGGACTTGACCTCCCCAATGAATATTCTACAGGCTGAGCGAGGACAAAACTTCCTAAACTCGCGATGGCTATCCAAGGAAAACTTTCAGCCTCAAACTGGCTGGGTACGAGAGGGCCGCGCCCCTGAGCTCCGGAAACCACTCTGGCTTCGCCCAGCAAAACTTTCAGGCCCCGCCTATCCCGCCAAGACCTCGGGTCTGGCCCACACTCTCGCGTAATCTGACCTGGCTTCCGACTACCCAGCCACCACTCTGGTCCCGCCCCCTGATTCCCCAGGCAACAGCCTGAACCCGCCCACTCCTTCTCGCCTTTATTCTGGCCCCGCCCCCGATGACCTCTGCTCCCGCCTCCGATTCGCCGGGCCAATCTCCTGGTCACGCCCCCTAGCTCCCGCCTCCTCGCCTTAGCTCCTAGCCCCGCCCCAGCTTCCCCGGCCTACGGTTCGGGCTCAGCTCCCGGCTTCCCGGCCAACGCTCTCAGGCCGCGCTACTGGCGCAGGCTAAACTTTCTGGCTCCACCTCCAAGCATTCCCCGCCAGCACCCTAGACACGCCCCCTGGGCCCCCGCCACGGTTCGCACCGCCCAGGCCTTCACATCCGCCTCTGGATCCGCCCCTAACTTCCCGGCCAACGAACAGAACCCACCTCCATCAGGGAAAACTTTCTGACCCCGCCCCCAGCGTTTTCGGGCCCGACTCCTAACCTGACGGACAAGACTTTGGCACCGCCCCCAACCCGCGCACAACTTTTAGGCCCCGCCCCCAGCTGCCACCCTTGCTCCTGGCCGGCCGGCCCGCCCACAACCTGGCCCGCCCCGTCCATGCCCACGAACTAACGTCCCGCCCCGCCAGCGTCCCATGTGGGCGTCCTGTCCCCGCCCCCCGCAGAGTACTCTGACCCCGCCCCCCCACCGGCGGCTCACTCCCCCACCCGCGCGCGCTCCCGCTGCCCTCACGTGGGCCTCCAGGCCCCGCCCACTCCGGGCGCGCTCTCGGCCCCCTTCCCCGGTCACCTGTCCCGGAGACCCCGCGGCGTCCGCGACTCCGGCTCCGTCGGCCTCCGCGTCCGCAGCTCCCGGGCCACGCACGTCACTTCCCTCACGCACCACGTGAAGAGGGGAAATAAAGACGGTCACTTCCGGTCCTACCGGCCCGTTTCCGGGAGCCTTAAAGGGCCGCGCCCCTACAGGTGGAAGTGGGAACCAATCGGTTTGGTCCTCAGGGCTGTGACGGTATCCTGTTCCTCCTGCCTCCTTCCCAGGGAGAAGAGACGCTTTCTTTTCACCGTCTGGCCTCTCTTTTGCTCAGGCTGTTTGCGCCTCCAGCCATCCCTGGTTCCAATAAGTAGAAGCCAGACGTTGGGCGATGATTTCTGGAGGTCTACCCTAGTTTCATCGCATCCTCCTGCCAATGAAACCTTGCAGTTACATTTTTTTTTTTGGTGGTGGTGGTATGGGATTTGAACTCAGGGCCTAACTGTTATTAAGCAGGCGCTCGTTCCACCACTTGAGCCATCGCCCCAGCCCTTGTGTGGGAAATTCAAAACCCTCACTGCTAGCTACTGGAAATGCACGGTCCATGTTTTTATATGCCCTACAACCTTGCTGCAAGGGCCAGGATTAATAGCGTGGACTGTGAAGCGAGGGCCTGGGTTTGAATCCTGACTCTGTCATTTACCGGCTAGCTATGTGACACGGGGAAATATATAAAATTTCTCCAGGACTGACGGAGTGGCTCAAGTGGTAGAGCACCTGCCTAGCAAGGTTGAGGCCCTGAGTTCAAACTCCGGAGCCGCCAAAAAAAAGAAAGGAAAGAAAATTTCTCCAGATTTGAGTTTCCTCATCTGTAAAGTGTACATTGTAACACTAACCTTCTAGGTTTGTGGGCGGGCAGAATTCAGGGCATGAATGAATTATAAGATAGAAATCGTGGCATAAAGGGAGCACATCAAATTTCTGGAGCAAAATTTAATTTACATTTATTTTTACTTGCCAGTAAAATGAACCAAGGCAGACCCAATTTACACAGTTCCTGGAGTTTATGGAAAGTTGGAATCCCTGTTGGAGAAAAAGAATAAAAAAGACAAAAAAAAGTCAGTTGTAAGACAGAGTTGGAGGATGGGACATGGCTCGAGTGGTGGAGCACCTGCTTAGCAAACATGAGGCCGTGAGTTCAAACCACATTACTGCCAAAAAAAGAAAGACACAGTTGGGCATGGTTGTGCATGTCTTTAATCCCAGCACTCCAAAAGCTAAGGCAGGAGGATTGAGTATTTCAGGCCAGCAATAGAGAGACTCTATCTCAAAAGAATAACAAAAGTCAGAAGACACCTTGTCTAGGAACTACAAGGTCCTGAGTTAAAACCTCAGTACCATAAAACAAATTGTAGAAATATCATATTGAAACCCTAATAAAGATGTAATTGCAGGCCGGGCACTGGAAGCCACACCTGTAATCCCAGCTACTCAGGAGGCAGAGATCAGGAGGCTCACTGTTCAAAGCCAGCTCAGGCAAACAGTTCGATAGACATTGTCTCTAAACAATCCATCATGGAAAAGAGCTGCTGGAGTGGCTCAAGGTGTAGGCCCTGAGTTCAAGCCTCAGTACTGCAACGAATAAATAAATAAAATAAGAAAGTTCAAAAGTCATCATAAAAGCTATTTTGTGTCTCCAGCATGAGAGGGGTTGAGTCCTGTTACTAGGAGACAAGTTGTTAACAGACTGACATAGAGGTGGGCCAGGAAACTTGACTGTCCACCAGGAAGCAGTGTGGCACTGCTTGAGCCGCTAACAGGCATTCAGTCAACAAATAGTCCTGCAACTGTGAAAAACTACTGGGTGCCGGTCTCTCTCTAGATTTCTGATCTGTGAAATGGAATTTAGGATGTATGGCTGGGCTAGGAGCTGCTGCCATGAAGCTTCCAGATATCAAAAGCTGAAGAAAAGCTAATGCCATAGGAGTGTTAGCCAGGGCTGTTAGTTCATGTCTGTAATCCTAGCTACTTGGGAGGCTGATATCAGGATGATCACGGTTCAAGGCCAGCCCAGGTAAATAGTTCTCCAGACTGCCTTCTCTAAAATAACCAGAGCAAAATGGACTTGGAGGAGTGGCTCAAGTGGTAGAGCGCCTGCTTTGCAAGTGTGAAGCCCTGAGTTCAAACCCCAGTCCCACCAAATAATAATAATAGCAGGGTTGCCAGACAAAATAAGGCAGGGGGAGGAGTCAGAGATAGTCCCAGAGGCCTCTCTGAGGAGGTGACATATGAGCAGGCACCTGAGTGAAAGGCAGGTGAGTATGGGGACATGTCAGGTGGAGAAAAATCAGCACACCAAGGTTCTGAGGATGCTGGTCTGGCCAGGGAGGCAGAGAAAAGAGACTGAGGCGACAGGTATCACATCAGGGCACTGGAGAGGGAGACTGAGGCAGGCTCAGGCCACACAACAGGCAGGGCACAAACAGGAGCTCCAGGGGTAGGGATATAGTTTGATGTAGAGTGCTTGCCTAGTATGCATAAGGCCCCGGGGTCCCATCAGAGAACTGCAAAAATGAATAAATAAATCATGAAAGAAAAGAAACACTTAAAAATGTGTGAGACTGGAGGAGGAGGAGATCCTTGTGTCCTGCCTGGAGGAAGAGGCAGAAAATGCAAAGCTTGCAGGCCTCTGGGGATGGTTAAATGAAGGAGTATTTGTATTATTTTATACTTTCTTTAAAACACTGTGTGACCTGATTAATTATTGCTGTTTCCCCAGGTCTTAAAGAGACTCTGCTTTTTTTTTTTTTTTTTTTTGGTGGAACTGGAGGTTTTGAACTCAGGATTTCACGAATGCAAAGCAGGTGCTCTACCACTTGAACCACACCTCCAGTCCAGTTTGCTCTAGTTATTTTGGAGATGGGGTCATAGGAACTATTTGTCCAGTCTAGTCTCCAACTGCAGTCCTTCCAATCTCAGCCTCCCAAGTAGCTAGGATTACAGGCATGAGCCACCAGTACCTGGCTTAAACTCTACTTTCCAAAAACGAATAAATCTAAATGGATCCAGAATCGTTCTGTGTCTCCCACTCCCACCTCCTATGTCCTGGGATGGTCATAGGGTATGAGGTCACTGAGTTGGCACAGAACCTAGCACGCAGAAGGCGGGCAGTATATGAGAGCTCTAGCCGTGACCAGCACCTCGGACTTTGCAAGTGCTCAAGCCGAGGCGTGGAGCCCCCTGAACGCCTCTCTTCCACTCACCAATGCCATTAGCTCTACCTTCAAATAAATCCCCAAGGGGACCGACCCCATAGCTTCCCCTCTGGTTCCATGGACGCCACCTCTGCAGCCAAAGCCTGTTTCCCACAATGGCCACAAGGGGGCGCCGATTGCAATAAAGTTCAACGCTCAGAGCTTCCCCTGGTCCTCACCTCACTCATAGGCTCCCTCTCTGACCTCACCTCTCAACTCTGTCCCCTTGCTCACTCCCTTCCAGCCCTTCCAGCCGCAGTACAGTAACTCTTCTCTCCCTGGGCGGTCCACTCTGGCCTCAGGACCTTTGCACTTGCTCTTCTATCTGCCTGGGGCACTCTTGGTTCTCAACTGTTTAGGGGTTTTTCTCACGAAGAACCTCCCTTAACACTCCCGAGTGCCATCCTTTTTCTACCTGAAGACTCACTCTATATAATTATTTACGGTCTTCACTTCATTATCCATCTCCCCCACATCAGAGTGTCAGCCTCAAGAAGGCCAGGTTTTGATCAGTTTTGTTCATAGCTGTATTCTCTGGTCCTACAACCACAACAATACTTGGCCCAGGTGACTGGGATGGAGATGCTAAATGAATGAATACAAGAACGAATGAAGCCGTGAGCCGGTGGCTCACACCTGTAATCCCAGCATTCGGGAGGATGTGTTAGTAGGATCACGAGTTGGAGGCCAGCCTCAAAAAAATAAAATAAAATAAAAAATAAACCCATCTCTGGGCTGGGAATGTAGCTCAGTGGTACAGAGGTAGCTCGCGAGCTAAGCATTTGCAAAGACCATTTGCACCATCCCCTCCCTGCAAAAAAAAACCCACAAATATCTCCTGGGGGGTGCTGCAAGGATTCTAGGGGTGCGCGTCTGCAGCTCACTCTGCGATTCCACCGCTCGCCGCGCGGGGGCAGCAGACGCCCAGCGCATTGGCCGGCGTGGCCAGTGCAGAGCGAGCAGCGGGCAGAGGAAGCTGATGAAATCCTCGCCAACTCGCAGTGAGCTCATCCCGCCCGGCGCCTCCGGAAGCCACGGGGCCGCCCGGCCTCCGCCTGGCCCGAGCGATAACGCTCCGGTGCTCAGCCGGGGCGGGAAGTCCTTCCTGAAGTCTGCCCTGCTTGGGGCCTGCTGCCAGAAGCCTTGGCCTGGCGGGGAGGGGGGACCAGGAGGAAGTACTGAAAGGAGACTGCAAAGTGAATTCAGAGCAGGGCGGTGGGATGGAGAGAGAAAGAGAGAAAAACAGCGGGAAGGACAGACACAGATGGGGAAACTGAGGCAGAGACTGAGTTAGAGGGTGACAGAGACAGGATAGGAGAGAGAGTGACTGCCCTGTGAAGACAGAGATGGAAGAAGCAGAGGTGCGACGTGGGAGACTGAGATGGGGACAAAGTGAGACCCAGCAAGTGGCAGGGATGCGGGGAGTTGGGGAGTGACTCCCAGATGGGGGCGATGGAGTCGAAGCGGGGGCCAGACGCACAGGGCGCGGCGGGGACACTGGGGAGGGAAGGGTGGGGGCGCTGGAGGCGGCCCTCCCCACCCCCTCCGCGCGGCGTCGCGGGCCAGTTACCAAGTTACCAAGTTACCGCAGGATTCGGGAGCCGCTGACTGGCGAGGCGGCAGCCAATCAGAGCGCGGCGCCGCTGTTCTCGGGCAGGAGGCCTGGAGACATGCGCACCTTCCCGCGACACCCAGCGAAGCACGCGGCCACACGATCGCAGGGGCGCGCTGGCCCAGGGACACGCACACACTCCAGCACACCGACACACGGAGTGGCAGGCACAGGACGGGGTCCGGAATGCGCAGGGACACCACACAGACACACATCTCAGCGATACTCACGCACACACAGTCCCGGAACTCAGA